CAAAAAATAAGTGAAGTGAAGAAGAATAACGATAATTAGCTTATAAGTTAAATACTTCACTGATAAACTATTTATTTGTTATAATCACTGATATTGCTATCATTTTTTATGTTTGATTAATTTTTATGTTATTTATTGCTATGGATGCTTATTTTACATTATTTGTTTTTTTAAATGGTCATTCATGGTGACCATTTCAGTTCGTGTTTGTGAAAGTAACGAACCCTTTCATTAAAAGTCTGTAAATGTCATTCGTACAAGCAATATAATTGTAATCTGCTAAAATTTTTAAAAATGTGTCACATTAATATTAGTTTAAAATATGAAATCAAAATTTGGATTCGAAATAAAATCTTTCACACAGTGAAGTAGCGAAAGAAATGCTAAGGTTAGTTATGATCTGGGAAATATTGCAGCTTCTTCACTCAGCAGGGGTGAATTCATAGAAGAAAAAGTGAGGTCAGATGCATGTCTGATCACATTAAACGTCCCAATCACATCTGCTCTCTTCCATCAATTGGCAACGATTTTGCTATTAAATACATAAAATTAATATTTTCTTTTGATAAATTGCAAAAATTATTACAAAAAAAATCATTAAAAATTTACATATTCTGTTTTGTATGCATAAAACAAGCCTCAAGCAATTTAATTTTGCTAAAATGTTCAAAAAAAAAAAACTTTTCAAAAAAATCAGGCTAAAATTCACGAAAATTCAAGCTGTAGTACATTTTATGCGCTGATTTATAAGTAGTATTTATGCAAAGGTAAAAAAATAAGTTATGATCAACTCATTTTATTATTTTTTGAATTTGATCAATTGTTAGTTACATATATATGTAACTAACAATTGTGATTGATAAACTTCAGATTACAGTTTATATCTGAACTCAGTAATTTGCTAATTAAAATTGATCAAATTAAGAAATTACAATAAATAAATAAATGCAAGGTGGAAAAAATTGGTTTTGTGAGAATTCTATGGTTTTTATGCACAGTCATCAAGAAAAAATGTTGTTTGCACGCATGAAAGCTTGCTTGACCTTTTACATTCGTTGAAATTGACCTCAAATAGCAAATATAACTATTATTCAATTATATTATTCAATTCCATTCCTTGCACAAATTCTTGCATTTTAATCGCATGCCCATCGAGCTGCCGCCATTCACTAAATATTCAACTGTCACATTTTTATAAGTTTTTATTCCGTTTTACAGCACTGATATATTATTATTATCAATGCATGTTGCACTATCAATTCAAATAACCCAAAATAGATTTGCTATCAATCTGTCAATTTTTGCCTGCAAATCAGTTAAATGATTCGTTTGGTTTCGTTTCATTTAATCATAAAATTTGATTATTTGAGGATATTTAGACTTGAGTACTGATTAATTTTAGTTAATATCTTCATAAGTAAGCAGTAATTCATTCAGATTGCACTGTAAATACAAGAAAAAACAGCATGTTAGCGTAAATTTGGTACTAATCTAATTAGTATTTATTAAATTAATTTGAATATTTCTTGAGAATTTTATATTTTTGTCATCTTAGATCATTTGTATCACATATTCTATCTAATAAAGCAAATGTTTGTTTGCATTGATTCCACTGATAAAATTACTTAATATAATAACTATAGAAAATGCTTTGTTAAGAATTTATCAAGTAGCAAATCTGATAAATTCAAATAGTCTCTTCCAAATTTATCACAGTTATCATTCATTATCAGTTGCTGATCTACTGATTACTGATCAAACATTGATGGAATATTTGTTCACTTCTTTAAAGTTTGAGATGAACGCAATGATACATAAATTTTCTTGAATCATTGCAATGATATCATAATTCTTTATTAAAAAATTGTTTAAAAAAAGCAAAAATATTACTTTTAAAATAGCATAAAAAATTATAGCTTTCACAAAGTTATTAAGTTAAAATCGTTAGAAAAATTAACAAATTTTGAGTTTTTTTAATTTGGCACTTAAAAATTCTTCACTAAAAAAGGATTGACTAATAATTATTGGCTTATTTTTGTATAATTAAGAGTTCTTATTAAGCTATTTTTCTATTTTTAGCTATTGACCTTTGCTACGGGTCACGCGTAAGCATGTATTACTGCGTGAATATTAATTAGCGAATAAAAATTTGAATTTTGGCAATTTATCTTTTCGATTTTTTTTACTATTTTTCATAGCTTTAGCAAAAATTCTGTCTAATTTACAATTCGAAAAAACGTAAGCTTTAATTAATAATTGAATATTATTCACTATTTTAGCAAATTTTCTTCAGAAGCCGAGAACCTTTGCGACTTTTAACGCAATATTTGCGAAGCAATTTTTGAACGAATTGATCAAATATTGATTTTTCAAAAGATTTCATAGTAGCAAACAAATGCTAAAAATTGTTCTTCGCATGCAATAAATTGCATATAAATTTCACGCATCATTCTTAGGTTTATTTGATAATTTTATTGTCAATTTTTCGATTCGCTCTCGCACTTACATGAGAGAATTTAAAAAATTTTTTACACAATTCTATAATTTGTATTCAATTTTTTTAATTACAAATTCAAAATTTCTCACGCTGTTATTGATTTTTTTCTTTGGCGGGAATACATTCCAAAAAATTTAAAAATTTGGCAATTTTTTTGTTTATTTGTTGAAGCGAAAAATATTTAGGTCACTTCAAAACTCATTGCAGTGATTATTGGTTGTGTGGTTGCGAATTTGTGCTTTGCAAATTGTATCGATCGAAACTTTTTGCAAAAAAATATTCAATTTTTCAAAAAAGCTGCAGTATTTGTTTGCAGAAATTTTTTGATATTTTCAGTTAATTTGCTTACTTTGAAGAAAAGTATAATCGTAAGTAACCTTTCAACTCATTTGCGTCTATTCTTCGATAATTTTGCATGCATATTTTATTTGATATTTTTTATTTTGCATATTATTTACAATTTTGCATAATTTGCAAAGTTGCATATTTGAATTTTTTTCATACAAAATTGTTTTGCTATAAAATGAATAAAAAATATTTCTAAATTATGCTAATACTTTGTATTTCTTAGCATTCTTCTAGATTAACAAAGATTCTTGTTTTGATGCCTTTCAGACTACTTTTGCTAGTCGCAATATTACTTAAGATTAAGTGATTGATCATTTAGTGGTATTTAAATGAGTGATATTTAAATAATTGACCTCTTATGAACAAACTAAAGCAGCAGCTACAATTGCTAACTTGTGTTCCATATATTTTGAATTTTTAATAAATTGTAATGACTTATTCCTGGAATTTGACTGAAGGATGGCAAAAAACAATTCTTTCTATCAAATTTTTAATAAATTTTATTTGAGATTATTGCAGTAAATAACTAAATAATAATTTATCAACATTGATTTTGACTAATATTTTGAGTTTAATCCACAAATCATAACTGTATTACTTGACTGTATGAGAGTCAAATCATAACTGTATTACTTGACTGTAAGAGAGTGTAGCAGCTTGCTAAATACTAATTTTTTATCACTTTTTTTGCTGATTAAATTGCAAAGAGTAAAGTAAACGGTACAGAAGAGTTTGTAAATAAATAATTAAGCTTTTGTGTATTATTTGCTTGAGAAAAATAATGAATTTGCAGCAGTAATCTTTGTTTTGTAAGACAAAAAGGCCAAAAATATACTGCAAAAAATGGCTGGCTTATTTCTGTACAAACAAATAAGTGATAATGGCTTGTTAATCATTCATTCAGTACTTTTTCTTTTTGCGTATTAAATTTCAATTTTATTTATGACTGTTTATTACTTATATTTGTAACTAATTTTATTGGACTGAAATAAGTGACTAATTATGTAATTTGCTTCACTTAATTAATGAAGAAAAATTTTTGGACATTTTCAATAAATGTTACTTGCAAATTCAATAAGTACTTTGAATTTATTATCTCAATCAAATGCAGAACAAGTGCGTTTTTCTCAAATCTTCAACAAATTAAAGTATATTTTTGAAAAATTTGCTCTGATTATTAAAATGTCATAAAAAGGCCAATTTGATGTTTTGTGTGAGTGAAGAATGCATTCAGTACTTTTCAGTAA